AAAAGTTTTTAATATCCATTTATTTTAAAACCATCATATTTTTTTCACACTTAGTAGGTTTTGTTAATTAATCTTGTAATAATGGTGACGTGTGCTAATACTAACTCAGCGCTACTCGATACTTCGAGGATTCTAAGTAACTGGTTCTTCATAGAACAAGAATACTGGTTTCTCAATTATCACACATAATTTTTCATATTGTAATATCAAGTACCTAACATTTTAATGGGATGATTAGAATGTTACGGATTCGTATTAGAGTTTTTTCATGTGTTGTTTGTTTTTGTATAGGTGAGGTTTATTACATTAAAATATTGTACTTTTGTACATACATACGATACTCGTATTAAATACTGTCAATTATTTAATATGTATGTATCAAAAATAAAATTTAAAATTTAGTTGGAATAGCGTAAAAATTAGAAAGAACTTCAATATGATATCATTAAAAATATTTTGATATCCTTGAAACCACATCTTCTATCACACTTAATTCAAAAAGCGTACTCCTCGGTCCTGTAATAGAAGCTAAAAAAACAATGAAAAAAAAAAAATTGCAAAATTGTCACAATTCTTTTTGGACCTCACTTTTTTGGCAAAGTCGAGCGGGTTTACTTTTCAAACTTTTTTTCACAAATTGATGTCCAGGAATATGTTTTTCTAAATGCCGCTTTTCCAACTTCTGGTTCTCAAGATATAGAGCTTCATTACTGAGCCTTGTATAGGTATTCATTACCAATATGATTGATCACATTTCTCTCATTGATCATGTAGGTTTGTTTCATCATTATAATTAAATTAGGACGAAAGGAGCAGTCATTGGAATCACTCTTCTTTTTCACTGTAGTTTGAACTGGTACTGCAATTGAAAAATCGTAGTCTTTTCCCATCTCCACTTGCAATAATTTGAATATGTCAAAAAAGCAAAATTTAGAGTACCTAGCAACGAGTAAAAAGTAACGGGTATTGATCAATGAAGTAACGAATGTTAATGACCACCACAAAGTACCTGAATTACACATTTCTATGTAGTACTACTGTGATTTCTGTTGAGGTATATTCTAGTCAAAATTATAGTAATTCAGCTATAGATTTTAATTCTTGTCAATGATGGATATATATATGTGGTTCCTCTAACTAAAATTTATGCAGAAGTAGTGAAGTATTACTTACGATACAAGTATATATATATATGAGTCCAGCAAATTTTCAGAAATTGCTTAAAAAATATAGTAAAATCCCGATTAAAATTAGAAATATTAAATTTCTTCATGAACAAGTTTTGTCATTCCTTTTTATATATATTGCTGAAATCTGAACTAAAAATGAAAATGTTGCCCTTTTAAAATCGCATTTTTTTTATTGATTTGCGTTTCACTGAGACCTGTTAAAGACTTCCAATTTTTATAATATTCCTATAATGGACAAAAATTCATTGCTCAATATTATTCAAAGGTCTACATAATATTTTCCGATTAAATATTAAATTCATATTAAAATTAAATTTGAATTAAAATCCATTTTTAAATTTGTTGGACCAATTATAAAAAGAAATGTGAAGTAAACTATTAAATATATAATTGGTTAAGTTCTGTAATTGTTCAAAATAAAATTATTATCAAAAATTTTCCTACAACATTTAAGAGATCTTTTCAAAATGTTTTAAAAACTTTTATAATTATTTTTGTTTTATAAAATTTTCCAAATTAAAGGAAAAAACAAAAATTATCGAGCAAAAAACGTTTCTGAAGTAAAACAAAAAGAAAAACATAAAAACAAAGCCATAATGCCATAAAAAACGAATAGGAAATTTTTTTTTTGAGATTTTAAACTTTTAATTTGTCAAATATTCAATATACATACATACATGAATGTTGCATATACATACATATGTATAATTTATGTATATCAATGCAAAAATAGAAAAAATTCATTTTATTCAAATTAATTTGTGTTAAAAGAGGAGACAATTATTAAGTATAACAAATTTATGAAGTTGTGAGATGCTCTAAAAAAATTTTGTTAAACATTCAATCGAATTAAAAAAAAAAATAAAATTAAAATTTATTATTTTAGTTCGTCTTCGAAATATAAGTAAAAATATTTTATTTTTTCAAATAAAGCTATAATTAATATAATTTTATACATTATAAATTTTCATATTACCATCATAAGACTGCTATGCGTTATATACGAAATTCAAAGAAAAATTCTAAAAACACCTGAAAATTTAATTATGAAAAGCCATTATGAAATTATTATTATTTTTTTTTTGTACATTTTGTGGAGAAATTTTGAAATAAAATCTAATTGTAGGTTTTATCATGTTTTTTCCTTTTTTTTGCAGAAGTTTTATTATATCTTTATAAAATTGTATATACAAGGATGTGTGTAGCATTGTAAAAAAAAATTTTTCTGGAAAACTTTTCCTTTACCATTTCTATACCTAAATGTATTTTTATATTTTATTAACAAATACAACACTCATGAAATTAAAAACATAACGAAAACAACAAACATAAAAATGTGTAAAAATAATGAAAAAAAAAAAAAATACCTGAATAATTAAGAAGAGCTCTTGTTCCTTAATGTATAGAGTACGAAACTTTAAAAATAATATATGTATGTATAATATATTTATTTCTAAGTAGATATTGTAATATATTTATGGATGATTTTGTACGGCCAGCAGCGTGTACGCAAGCTCAAATATTATTTATCAACTTTAACATTACAACTAACTAACATTTACTTACTATGGCCAGTTTTTCTTATTCTGTTTTTATGCTGGTTTTTTGTTTTTTTTTTTTTGTTGTGCTGTTATTCTTATTTCAGTAATGCTTTATATACATATTTATGTATACATAAATTATGTAATATTCATATATAATTTTTTTTAGAGTTAACATCTCATTGAACTTAAAATGAATATTTTTCAAAAAAATCTTTATTAAATTTGAATATTTCGTAGTAAAATTAATTGAGATCAAATTAATAAAATTCAACAAATTAAAGAATAGGTTCTTTGATTGAATTGCAACAGACATTGAATTGAGACATTTAATCAATTTCTTAAAAGGTGGTTAATTTCACGAGATTAAAGGTGGGAATATTCGAGCGTTCATATTAAGGAGTATGCCGAATTAGTTTTAGGCATATTTTTATAAATTAGTAAAGAGGGAAGCACAATATAAAGAAATTGATCGAATATAATTTTTGAATAGCATAATTATTCGGAGTTAACAATTTTATGAAGTAAATAAATTATGCGTTATTAATTGAAGACTATATTTTACCAAACCTATTTGTAGTACAATTAAGCAATTCATACAATAATTTACCGTTAACATTAGTGGAAAATGAAAATGAAAATTACCGATATTTAATTTTCATTTTATTTGTCACTGAAGACACAATTTTGGAACTGAAGAACCATAATTTGCATTCTTTAATACATGTATCATTTGGGCTTCATAAATTTTCAAATTTCATAGATTTTCTTACATGTTCTTTTTTCATGGCACGTATTTGAGTTGACATGGCAACTCTAATACGTTTACGTTGAGTTGAAAATAAATGCAAGATGAAAATAGTTGAACCTGAAAATAAATGGACTTATTTTCCCTAGTTTTATTTTTACCTTTTGCCTTTTTTTTCCAACATGCTACTTTTTCTGTACAATTGTTTTTTTTTTATATACATATATGTAGGTAAATGATCGATTTCTATATTTTATTTCAATTTAGTTCTGTTGTTATTTTTTAACATTAATATAAAATATATTAACGTTATTTATGTGAGTATGTAAGGTTTATAGGTAATTTACAAATTTTATTTATTTTTACTGAAACAAAAGTTTTTCAATACTTCATAAAAATCACTAAAAATTGAATTAGATTTATTTAAAATACATCCACCTTTTTATGTCAGAGGTTTATTGTAATTTTATTTTATGAAAGTCAAATATTTTTTTAATAATTGGAAAAAATGTACGAGCGGTTTCCAAACTTTAATGAAATACGCTGTATAGAAATTTTTTCTTAATATCTTATGAATTCTTCTTAATAATTTTGTTGAATAATAATCTGAAATTACGCAAAAAATAATCCCGCTTGAATTGTTCTTAAATTTTTTTATTCTTGTTTTTAAATATTAATGAAAAAAATGTATAAATCTGAAATCTCAAGCTCTTATTTAATAACTTTATGAAGAGATTAGTTGAATGAGAAAATTTGAGATTTATTTTTTGATTATAAAATATAATACTCACCTAATATTAACATTAAATTAACAGATATAGAAAACTGATCTCTAACATTTACGTATTCAAGAACATTATGGTATTCATGGGGAAACGCTCTAATACAGAAACTTGCATATTTAGTAAAACTAAAATTTAGTTGATAATTGGTTTAAAAGTAGAGTGAGTAAAGATGAGCTTAACAAGATATTAGACACTGATTACAGAAAACATTTTCAAAACTGCTGTTTATTATCTTAAGTCGATTAAACATTAATTTACAATAGTGCGTGACAATATCAAATATGAAATATGTTGAAAGCGTTTCAAGAGCGGAAACTTAAACAAAACAGAAAGTATACAATAATTATAATAAAATATTAAAAATTTCGTAAACAAGAAAAATAGTTTTTCCAATTAAATATGAATGGTACACATACAAAAACTTATAATCGAATAGGCATAGTAAACAGTCTACGTAAGATTTATTAAAGTTGATTTTCATTTAGTAATTATACTTTATTTAATAGAAATTTAACGAGAAGGAAATGTTATTAAGACTATACAAACATAAGAAAATTAATTATGTGCTATCAGTAAAAAAAATAACTTTTAATTTACAAATTTGAATAGGCATAATATCAAAATTGCATGAGTACTTACATTAATTTACATGTAATTTTAGATTTGATTAATTACTAAGTTATCCTTGAACTTTTTCCACAACATTTAATTTCAAAATTTATTTATTTTCTTTTAGGAAAATGGAAGATCAGTTCCTGATGTTACAGCTAGTCCGGGAAGAGCCCCTCCCGGACCACTGCCAAACCAAATGCAACACATGTCAAACCAAAGACAACCATCAACTGGTGGAGTCAAAGAACCTATACTACAGGGTGATTTCCGAAAAGTATCGGGAATTAGTTCAGATGTTTTTCGGCAGATAGAAGCGGTAGAAAATGATCATGATCCGAATACGGCAGCAGCTCTTGAAGTATGTTCATTTTGTTTTTAATTACAATATACATACAGACACATATATGCATTCCTATATAACATATTAAAGCCAAGTACATAATTTTTTTTATAACATTTGAGAAAGAAAGTATTGGACATTCTCCAAGTTCAAAAACGTAGATTGAGATTCAAAATTGAAAAAAAAATGAGAAATTCAATAATCAAACCAAAAAAATTAAAATACTTTTTGTTTTTTTGGCTTAATTATTAAACAGATTTTTTAATTACCTTCTAGATGTAAAAATATGTGTAGAGTTAAAATAAAGAGTTACATTAAAATGAAAATTTTATTAATGAATATCAGATGTTTCGCCATATATAACAAAGTTTGGCAAAAATATCTCAAAAGCTGTAATAAAGAGAGACCAGGAGGGTAATCAGATAGATAGGGAATTAAAAAATTAAGAATAATGACATTCTCAATCCTACGTCATTTTGTTTTTGTAAAATACAAAATTACAATTTTGTAGCTTACAAAATAATTTCCTTAAATTCAAACATAAATAATTTAATTGACTGATAACTATTTTGATTTTATTAAAGTTTATTTCATTGAACTCTATTTCTTACACAATTTAATCGAATTTTGATGTTCTAATTTTAAGGCTGTTGAGCGCCGCGGTGAGATGATAGTAAGGATATTGGAAGCCCGAAATATAGGTGGAAAGCATGCTGTCGAAGCTGCTCAGAGATTATTGACAAAAGGTGATGCTAGACATACAGTCCAATTAGTTGAGATCGTTAAACGACCAGGACAAACCCTTGGACTTTACATAAGAGAAGGTAATGGAGCAGATAGAACAGATGGTGTATTCATATCAAGGATAGCTTTAGAATCTGCTGTTTATAACAGCGGATGTCTTAGAGTAAGATAAAAACAAATGGTTTATCAAACCGATGTTTAAAATATTTTTCATATCAAGGTTGGTGATGAAATTTTGGCTGTTAATCTGGTGGATGTAACACATATGTCATTGGATGACGTCGTTATTATTATGTCAATTCCGCGTCGTTTGGTGTTAGCAATAAGACAAAGGCGTGGAAATAGGGGCGGAGCTAGTTCACCAGGCGCCGCACAACTTTCACGGCCAGAGCAAAAACCACCCCCAGTTGTAGTAATAAAAAGAGATTTAAGAGATGAAGACTTAGATGAACCGGATCGATTGCCTAGATCTCGATCATCACGAGAAAGACGTACAGGTATTATTAATTAATTATAAAATCCTATATTATTAACAAAAATATTTTTTTTTTCATTCAAAACAACTATAATTCACATAAATCAGGTGATGGACGGGAAATGACAGAATCTCGATCGAGGTTAGGCCTAGGCCTAAATAATTACAGCCCACAAAGCGAACAATTAGATTTATATTATAATAGTCGTCCATCGAATGTTATAAATGAACCACCTAGTTGGGGTTATAAGCCACCGCCTCCCCCACCTTCTGTTATTACGGAGCAACCTAAAGGTCATCATTTTGCTCCATCTCATGCATATTATCAGAACGCTGGTACTTTAGAAAGCTTAGCTGAAAAAGTGCATTCATTTTATCCAGGTGGTCCTGGAAGAAGAATGTCTGCTGGAACAGGTCCTACAGCTGGCGTAACTATTAATCAAGCACATGCACGATTTCCTCGCAGTGGATCGGATCAGCATTTACCTCGCGTTGAATATTCAGACTACGCTACTTCACTGGGACGGCATTCACTTTTACGATCAAGTTTGAAAACTGGTGCGCCTATAGCGACAGCTGGAGGTACGTTAGGTCGATATGGCCGTTATGAACCTTCTAGAACTGCGAAATATGGTACACCTCCAAGCGGACCTAGTTCATTAACGCGCAGATCACGACCTAACTTAGATTATTCAAGCGACACTGAAGCTACAATAGGACAACCACGACCTAGTTACTATTATTACAATAGACCTGCAATAGCAAGTGCTATTCCCTCACGAGCAGGGGCTGCAAGTGTATTAGGTGGCGGCCCCGACTTAGCTAAATTTAATTCATTACCACGTGATAGACCTGGAGTAAGATTGGGTGGAATAAGGCCAAGAATTGGTGATCGACTATTAGATGAAACAGACGGAAATTTATCAGCTCCTGAATCTTCATTGAGAAGAGAGCGTGACTTGTTGAGAGCGAAAATTACAGCCAGTCCTTCGATATTTACGTCTGACGAATATCGCGCATGGTTACGAAGAGCACCAAGCAGTTCAGCGATTTGTGACCAAATGAGAATGTCAAGAGATCTTTTAGCACAACCACGAAGTTATCGATTCTCTTGTAGTGCAGAAAATATTCATGATGCATTAAGAAATGTAAGCATTGGAGTTTTTGTTCGAAATTTTTGAAATTTTAACTTTTTCCAATATAAATTTTTTTTAGACTGAAAGCATTTATAGTAGTCGCACTGGCGTTATGGCTGGCACTTTAGATAGACATATGGGTGCTGCGGGATTGGCAGGTGCACCCAGAGCTGGACTCTCTGCGCTACCAGTTCGTTCCATGTCATCACAGCATATTGGTACAGCATCATCCATTAGAAGCCCTAGTATTCGAAGGATGAGACAATTATTAGAACTCTCTACTGGGGGACCAGGAGTTGTCGGACCTAACAGTCCCAGTGGTAGTATAATTAGTGCCGGGCATCAGAGTCCAGCTCCCACACCCAGTGCAACACTTCCTAGATCGCACAGACAAATTGATATAAATCCAGCTGAATTTGTAAAGTATAAGTTAGACAAACCTGTAATGGAAGTAGGTGGAATATCTGGAATGTTGTGGATTCATTTATTAGCTGGACGTGGCTTACGATCTCAACCAGAAGTTCCTCCTGGAAATCCCTTGCAACCGCAACAGCCATTAACTCGTGATCTTTATTGCGTATTAGAATGTGATCGGGTTCATAAAGCTAGAACAGTAGTTCGTTCTGGTGATTTGCAATTCGATTGGGATGAATCATTTGAACTAGATTTGGTATGCAATAAACAATTAGACGTTTTAGTTTACTCATGGGATCCACAACATCGGCATAAATTATGCTACCGTGGTGCAATATCGTTAGCATCAATTCTTCGCCAGTCACCATTACATCAATTAGCACTTAAAGTTGAACCTAGAGGGACTATTTACATTCGATTGAGGCATACAGATCCAATAACGTTATATAAACGGCGTGGCTTACCAAGTTTGCGAGCTGGATATCCACAATTATTCGGAGCTGATCTTGAGACGGTTGTAAATAGGGAATCAAAAGGAGCTCCAGGAAGTGCACCAGTTCCAATTGTATTGAGACGTTGTGTTGAAGAAGTAGAACGACGTGGTCTCGATATTATCGGTTTATATCGATTGTGTGGTTCAGCAACAAAAAAACGTTTATTGAGAGAGGCTTTTGAAAGAAATAGTCGTGCTGTTGAGCTTAGCCCGGAACATGTTCCTGATATCAATGTAATAACAGGTGTACTAAAGGATTACCTCAGAGAACTTCCTGAGCCTTTATTTACAAGGTGTCTTTTCCAAATGACAGTAGATGCTTTAGGTAAATAATCTGCTATTTCATTGTAATTATAATATTTATGTTAATTATTTTCTGTACCAATAAGCGGTGTGCTTGCCTGATGACCCAGAAGGAAATGCGAAATTAATGCTCAGTATATTAGATTGTTTACCGAGAGCGAATAGAGTAATTATTTCTAATAAGCAAAACACATTAAAGATCGTTTTATATTATGTTGTTTTTGATTTTTTTTTTGATTGTAGGCAACACTTGTTTTTCTACTTGACCATTTATCCTTAGTGGTATCTGCATCAGAACGAAATAAAATGTCTGCGCAAGCATTAGCAACTGTTATGGGACCACCGTTAATGTTACATTCATCTAACGCACAACCAGGTTCTGATATCGATCATGCTCAACCTATTGCGGTACTAAAATATTTATTACAAATATGGCCTCAACCACAGTCTGTAACAAGTACTGCCTCAGGTAACGTAATCAAAATATTGAATTCAAAATAAAACAACATATTTATTCTACTAACATTTAAAAAAAATAACATTATCTTAGCAACCTTTTTAATTACATGATTAATCATTCATTATGCAATAATTTTTACAACTTTATTACAAATTTTTTTCAATTTTTCTCTTTTTTAATGCAATTTTTAAAATAATTAATTTTTTTTTAATTAAAACTTTTCACAAATTATAAAAGAAAGTATAAAACAAAAAAATGTTGCTAAGGTGTTTGTGTTTTGTTTGATTTTATTTATTTATACTTCTCCTTCACTTTCCACTACGACCTTACTTTTGAAATTCCATTGATAATCTGATGTTCTTCTCACTGCATGATTGGATGTATTTCCTTCATATAAATAATACATATGTTATATATGTTTACATATATATTATATATATATATATATAAATATACATTCACTATATAAGCAAAGTAAAAAAATTTAATTAATTAAGAATCAATATAAATATCGATTATTTGTTATTGAAAACTATGTATGATTGTTATAAAAACTAATTGAGTTATTTAAAAATAGAAAAAATAAAAAAATAACAAAGATTTCTTGTTTAACTATAGAAATACGTACGAAAAAATGATGACGTATATTTTAATAAACGTGCGTAAATTAGTTTAACAGAACTAAAAGAAAAAAATATATTTTTTTTTACCCAAAAAAAAAAATCGTAAAACATGTCTCATGTCTCTAATAATTAAAATCAAAAAAACACTTCCTTCCATTACATCCTATATGGTTAATACAGAGTCCTATGTAGACAGGTCGGCGCGGCGAGCCAACAGGGCAGCGTGGAAACAAAGTCAGTGCGTCGCAAGTGGACAGACAACTTCTGCAACAGCGGCAGCTGCAGCACATCATGGGTATGGGATTACAGCAGCAGGCAGCCAACATGGTACTCTCCCAAGGCCAACATCATCCCTTAGCCACAGTCAGCACAGCCAACATTCCTCAGTTTCAATCAGTAGCGGCTCAGTCAGTTCAATTGCATCGAGTCTCGCAACAAGTGGCCCAACAGGTGAATTTGAATTTTTTTATTTAGAGAAAAATAAAAATCTTTTTTTGTTAATATTAAAGGAAATTATAATTTATGTATACATATAAATATGTTTAAAATAAATGAAAATTTTTAATATTAAATTTTAAGATAAAAAAATATTAAATAAACAATTTTAATATTTAATATTTAAATTAATTTTAATTAACAATTTTATATACTAATGCAAATTATTTTATTTTTTTTTTTATTTTTTCTCTTGTTGGAAAAATATATAAAAATAAATGTCGTTTCTCTTTTTTGAAAACTTCCTTATACAATATATGAAAATCTCAAATTATATAGAAAAAACTAAGAAGACTGATCTTCACAGAAAAACGTACGCAAATATAAATGAAAATTTATGAAATTTAGATATGAAATTTACAAAGTGAAAAAAACAAACACCGCCTTTTGCCTTTCATTTTCCAACAGTTTCTTTATTAATTGTTTTATTTTTAATTTTAAATTTTATTATTTAATGTAAACTTTAATTTACTATTATTGTTTTTTATATTCCTAGTTTGTTTTATGCTAGTTTCAATACTTTTACGCACCAGAAATAAAGTATCAACTCATTCGTTCTTAGGTTATGTGTGTATTTTTTTCTAAATCTACAATGGTTGCTTCTCATATACGGATAATTGCATAGAATAAAGAATTATAATAAATGATAAACTAAAAATTACTAAAAAATTTATGAAAATCTATTAGATAAATTAAACTAATTAGATAATTAAGCTAATAAATTGTTTGTCTAAATTTTCAAAAGCAGCTGTTGATTTCTTATGATTGCAATTTGTTCAATTATCAGTTAAAACATTGTGGTAGGGAAAATTTTTCAAAATTGTTTTGAAATTAAAATCTCCCTTTTTTTTAAATTTTGTTGATTACAAAGTTTATAACTTGTATATTATGCATATTTGCATACATGCTTTCATTCTAAGCAACACGGTTCAGGATTTTCATCCACTGAAAGCAATCGTTGAAATTCAGAGATAAAATTATCGTGATCCATTATGTTTTAAAGTTAATTTATAATTTTTCTTAAAATTTATAGTTATTACTGAAAATTGTTCTTGTAATGGAAATAAATGTGATGGTCACTAGAAAAACTGTTGTAAATTAACATTTAATGAACTCTCTTTCAACAGTTTGTTCAATCCAGATAAAAAAAATATGATTTTATCTCAGACTTTTAATTAAAACATTTAACATAAACACTATTAACTTGTAATCTTATATATAACCATTATAGATTTACAAAATTAAATATTGGTAACAGGCACATCATAACCTTCTTTTTGTTATTGTAAATCATAGTATACAAATTAGATTTAAGTTGTTGATGACCATTTCTTTTATGCAAATCAAATCACAAAAAAAAATGTTGATAATCAATTAAATAATGTTATAAATATTATAGATCGAGAGAAATGAAGTAAGATTTAGGTGTTTATAGAGAGACCCATTTAACATATTTAAACACAATTTATAAATAAATAGAATTGTAGATTTCATCAGCTATTTTAAAACAGAACCTCCCAAAAGATTTCTTTTAATTTTAATGGTCAGAAAAAGAAATAATTATTAAAAAATAAATTAGAAACAAAAATGTTAAAAATGTTAGAATTTTGAAGGTTTTAATGATTAATTGGTATTTGTTTTAATAATTTTTTCTAATCAATAAAAATAAGAAAAAAATTTGAGCCGCTTGTAGTTTTTAAGTTAAGAATACAAAATCATGTGTTAATATTCACGATATTTAATTCCATTAACTTTAATTACAAAATATTTAGGACATATTTACAATTATTTAATATCGCATATTGGTCATTTACATGGTCATTATATGATTGTTTCAGGCTTTTGTTAAGATTATAAAACAAATGATTTCATAAAACACATTATGTATACTTCATTACTCATCTTTTTTTTCTTCTTTTTTTCTTTCTTTTTATTATATTTGATTTTAAATTTTTTATATACCGTACAAATGAAATTGCTCACAAACTTTAGAAAAATTTAATTTTAAACTCAATTTCTGAAATAAAATTTTCACCATGCCTTTTAATAGGAAGCATGTTCACCTCAGCTATATAAATTCTAATAATAGCTTGCTTTTTATTACATTCCAAATTGAATCTTTTTAATTTTTTTTTAAAACATCTTAATGTTGTCTAATTATATTTTGATAAAAAACAAATTCAAAATTTAAAAAAAAAAATTAAACAAAATCAGATCAAATTCAAATTCATTCTTTATTAATCACATAATATGTATTAATATCATACGTTATGTTCATATTCTAGAATTCAATTTAAAACACATGCTGATTGCTGAATAAAATTATTAATTAATTTATGAAAAACTGTTATAATTTAAATAATAACCAGAACTAAAATGTTGTATAATAAAATAATTTTAAAAAATTACAGCACCTTCAATCGGAGGCCTCAGCGGGCTCGGTAACGCAAGACCAATCGCTACTGCCAGGCACACCCTCCCCAGGCAGTAGTTCAACATCGGGTTCAGGTTCTGGGTCAGGTAAGTTTTATTCCATTTTATAAATGTGTATGCTATAGACACAACACTCTTTTCTTTAATTCGAATTTGGAAAAACATTTTTATTTGCATTTTATTTTTAAAAATTTCCTTGTAAAAGAGACATACACCTTTAATTCAAATTATATAAAAAGGTTAAAGAATAGGTTCTTTTCACCAAAAGTATTCAAGTAAAATAATATTTAGTAGAACGAACACTGAAATTTTTTTCTGTACAACTTCTGAAACAAATAACGTACAAATGTACATATACATATTTCTACAAAACTTATTGCCCAAATTCAGTATATTTTGGAAAATTTAATTTTTAGTTTATTCTGAAATAAAAGCCTTCGGTAAAAGACAATAAAATTATACTTTTGTTTGGTGAGGTTGATAAATCTATACAAAATATTTAATTGTTATATAAATCAATGACAACTAAAGTATGACTTAACTCTTATTAAGATAATTCAAGTAGTTTTATAAAAGATTTGCGTGAAAAGTTCAAAATTCTGTATAATATATACACGTATTATATAATAAGGAGTGTACTACGCAAATTGTTTGCAGTACGTAGTTTGTACAAATTGTAAGAGAGCTTGCTTGGTAACTAATATTATCATAATAATGAAAGAGCAATTTCTAAAAAAGTTGTCGCGACGTCATCATGTTAAATTGCATATATTTAGGAGGTATAAAATTCTAAATTTGTATAAGGCTCGGCACATTTAAATTAAAATTTTACAAATTTCGTGATGCAGTAATTTGGGAGAAGATGTAGGTCGAAAAAAAATTTTTCTGCTAACGAAATAAGTAATAATAAGTACCTAAAAGCTCCTAAAATTTCAGATTCCTACAACTTATCGTCTAGAAGAAAAAAATGATATCCATAGAAAACTGGTTTTAGATAAAAGTTAATTTCTCGGGCATTTTGTCATTTCCAAGCTCGAAATTCCTATGCCGCGCTAGAAACTATGCTTTTGCGTTTGCAGAAGAAACTGCAACTGATTGTCAATATGTTACGCTATAGATCCCAAAATTTTGTACACATGTTATACAAAGTTTTGTAAACGTGTTGTACAAAATTTTCATAGAATATTTTACTTCATGTTTTCGTGGTTTATCTGTGTTACATAATATTTGAATAAAAACTTTAATTAAGGGCTGGTTTTGTGTTAAATATTATTTCAGAAACTGGAAATAAATCTAGAACGTAAAACTTTTGTTTTATTGTGAACGCTTCACGAATCTTCAGTGTGCTCCAAAATTAAATTATTATCGCTAACTCGTATATAATCAAGTTTGAAATGAAATGAAACTTTTAATAGAAAAGATGGTAGTAGTGTATGTATTTTAATTAAATTTTTAACAAAAATTAAATATTTTAAAATAACTTCTCAATGATATCTACGATTTAATTGTGATCTTTTATTTTAGGAACTGATACTGTAAAACGTGGTGCATCACCATCGTCTGTAAAACATGTAAAAATTCACGAATCATCTAGTTCATTATCTATAAGTAATTCAAATTCATCAACTGCAACCGTAAAACTATCACAATATAATAATCACCAACAACAGCAACAGCAACAACAACAAAATGAACAAATGCAACAAAACGATTTTACTAGTACATCATCAAATTTATATACAAATTCTAGTAATAAGATAAATAAGGATAATAAGGATATAAGCAATAATGATAAAAATCGCTTTATGAAAAATCTTAAGGAAAGTAATAATGGCGTAATTAGTAGCAGCACAAATAGCTATGGACCAAGTTATACTAAATCATTATCAGGATATGATATTGATAAAGATAATGGTAGCACAATAATAAATAATTCAATAACAACGATATCATCGAATGCATCAATATCTCCATTAGCATCTGCATCCGTTAAATCGTCTTCAGTACTTACATCATCATCTATATCTTCATCAACATCATCAATTAGTAGTAACATTGCTAGAATTCAACAAAAAATACGATCACGTTCTCGTACCCGTTTCGAAGATTCTGATTCAGATTCAGAATCGAGGTGCAGAACGCCCAATCCATTATTAGAGCAATCACAAGCAATGACAACAACACAATTAATGTCAAAGTATTTAAAACGTGAACCACTTGTTTCAATGACATTAACGGAATCACCGTGCCCGCCAATTATGTCATCATTATCTTCATCTATACGTGATATATGCGCAGCATCACAATCAGCCACATCTAAATATGATAAGCCCACATCGCAATCTTTAGGAGAAGCAGAAGATCCTACTAGTAATTTATTTAATACTATTAAAACTCATTTAAGTAGCAGCAGTTCGTATATTTTCCCATCTGGTAATATGAAATCATCATCAGCACCATCAACAACAACTACAGCAACAGGGGGCACTTCTGCCTTTTCTGGATCAACGATATCAACTGCAATCGATGATTATGAAAAGAAAAATATTATACATAAACAAAGTTCCTCAACAACAGATACAACTGGAAGACAAACTTCATCATCACCAATAAGATCTGAATTACATGATAGTAATGTTGTAACGTCATCAGCAAATTCATCATCAGTTGTAGCTAGAAATGTATCATTATTTCAAACAAAAACACAGTCATCATCATCTACAGATTCATCAGCATCAATATCATCGGCTTCAGACTCGAATAATTATTTAACTAACAATAAAAATTTAATAATTGATGAAAAACAATTTAATAATTTTAATAATTATCCAGTAAGTCCAGATCCATTTAATACATCTTTCATAAATTTTGATAAGTTAGGTTCATCAGCTTCATTATCTCAAAGTGCATACGGTGCTGGTATTACTGGTAATGGTAGTGGTATTGGTAGTACAAACGGTACAGGTATATTAGGTTCTGGTAATGGTAGTTCAGGTAATGGCCATTATAATATTTATGGAACATTACCAAAAACTATTAGTTCAGCAGCAATGCTATCATCAACATCTTCATATTTATCATCTGGGGGCGGTAGTTCTGATACTACAAGTGGTGTTAGTTCAATGGCTGGTTCAACAACCAGTTATGATTATTATATGAATTCTAGTAGACAATATAGTTTAGGTAGCACAAGTTTAAATGGTAGTGGTGGTAACTATCATACATTAGGTTCATATAGAGTACAGTATACAGCAACGAATCCATTTCTAGATATATTTGAACCTGGAAATGGAAATAATGGTAATCATGGTAATGGTAACGGAAATGGTAGCAAAAGATCATCTTCGACCGCATTAAATTCAGTTCGAGATCAGTACAGTACTGAAAATGATTTAAAATAGAAAATTAAACAAAATTAAATTTATTATTTAAAAATAATATTATAAAAATTTACATTGAATCATGTGTGACACGAATGCAAAATTCTTTAAAAGTACATAATTAAATTACAAAAAAGAAAAGAAAATTATACTAAATATAGATATCTGTAAATGTAGAATTATAAAAAAATATACAAAAAAGATAGATAAAAAGTCAATACAATTTATTCTAAATTATATTATAAAAACAAACAAAAAGAAAGAGAATGTTAACATTCTTAACATTACAGAATGCGCATTAATTGTATGATTACATTGTTTTTTTTTTACATAAAAAATCTCGTTAAGCAGACACCTTAGATATCCTTGTGATATCATTATTTTCCTGTAAAACCCTATGTTTTTATGCTTCCTAAAATAATATTTGAATATTTAAAATGTATGTCTTGTGAATGATTTAAAAATTATATTTTTCCTCTTAGAAAAGCTCAGCTTATATTAAATTTTAAAAATTTTTTGATTATCGAAATTAATGTACTAATTAAATATTCTTATTTCAAAACTGTTTCAATAATAATTCAATTCAATCTGATGAACGACATACTCGTAAGAAAAAACAATTAATTTTGCTAAGGTTTTCAAAAAATTAAGAATTTTATTCCTTTTTAATTAAATTTCACTAGAGAGTTATAAAAGCTTTATATATAACGTTAGTTCATAGTTCTATTAATTCGTTTGAATTAATCAGACTTTCATTTTCTAATATTATTTAATCAATTTTTACCGAATTTTATTTATGAACGTGGTTTAATATAAATTGCGCACAATATCAAACTAAAACACCATTTAAAACAAGCAAATATAAAAACAAAGTAAGATTTAATAATGCTAATTTATACATATATACATTACTAATTAATATATAATATACATATATGTATGTATTTAAATATTTATACATTACGTGAAAAATTTACTTGTATACTACTTAACCTATATATACTAAAAAAAGTAAAGTGTAAAAAAGAATACTATGCAAACAGACTTTAGAAAAACTAAATAAGCAAAAAATTTAATTTGAATTTCATTATTATAATTAATAATTTGATTTTGTATTGTCATTATTATTTGTTATAAATATAAATTAATTATTAATATTGTTATAAATTATTTACACATTATACAGATTCATTTATACAAAAATTAAAAACGAAATTTTAAAGTTTCAAAAACAAAAAAAAAACTGCAATATTACTAATTCGAGGTATATACACATATATGAAAACATTTTATAAAACAAATACAATACGATTACAGACGATTATAAACCAATACAATACGATTGCAATCCTAAAACGCATATTATGTAATATATTATGTGAAGGGATCATGTTCTTTTACTTTCTTCTATTTATTACATATTATTTCCAAATTAAATAAAATCATACTGTTAAATTATTATACAATTTTACAATTAGTATTGAACAAACACGTACATGCTTCTGTTGAATATACCTGTTTAGTTATTAAGATACATACAGTATGAATGTATTAAAAATTCCAAATTAAATGGTACATAATATAGACATGATTAAATAGAAATTGTAAAATTACAAAATCAAAGAAAAACGAGATAACAAAACAAAAGAGATAGAGATTGGAATAGTATAGAATTAAAAAAATTTAAAGAAAACTCATATATTATGAGCTACAAGATACATATTATGTACCTTGAGGTCCATATTGCAATGATAAAGTTCTCAAATTTGATTATCAGTTTAAACACAAATTCAAGAACATATTCTGCATCTCAAATATTATAAATTATAAAAGTTTCTTTTATATTAAATAAATTTATTTTTTCTTTTCAATTTTATTGCAGTTTAGAGAAACAATTATTTTCTTTTCAAAAATTATTTTATACATTTTGTACATTTTTGTGTTGGTTGTGGGGAAAATAAGCATTTACTTGTGTGTTTGTACTTAGAATTTTATTTATTTGAACAGATATAAAATAAAAAAATTTGTATAATAATTAATTAATAAAACAGAAACAAATGAAATAGGAAAAACCTACAAATATACATAATATATATATCGTTAAATAAAAATTTTATATAATACATATTTATAAATTTATTAAATGTTATTCAAAACATTACGTTTTTTGCTCTTTTTTACATTCATATACATACAATATATATTATACATATATAATTTTTACAGTATACAAGAAATTTGACGGAAATAATAGCAAAACAAAAAATGACTAAATAAAAGTTAAATTTAATAGAAGAAAATGTTTTTCTTTAGAAAAATCAACTATAACAAAAATTTACAAGTATATAACAAGTTTCATAAATACTAAACAAATGTATACATTTATACTCGTATATTAAATTAAAAATTAATTACTACATTTATATTATATACATATAAATACAAAACAAAAAATTTTTAAATTTTAAATATTTCTTTTATACTTATTTTGGAGTTTTTTATTTTATTATTTTTATAATTAAAATATTAAAATTATATAGTGGACTTTATATAGTAGTAAAATAAAAGAACTCATTTTCAGTATAAAGTTCTGATTTCAATATAAAAACCGCAAAAAAAAAAAAACACATTTTTGATAAGTATAATAAAATAGTTTAACAAAAAATTATATAAAAACTGAATTTACATTTACCATATTTACTATTTATTAAACTGTATTAAAAAATTATCATCGTACAACAACAATTCACAACAAGTAATTAAGCAGAAATATTTTCTAAAATTATATGTAAATATATTTCACTCACTATGACTTCAAAACAAATGTAATACTGTATTAAACAAGAATTTTAAAATTCATTAGCGGAATTGTTGTATTAACACCGTATTGCTGAAATTTTGAAGTCAGAGACTTTCGTTGACACTAATAATAGCCTACTTGCAAATCGAAGTATATACAATTCTCATATATAAATTTGAGTAAATATGATAGTTCTTGGAGAAGTAGAATTAAAAATGTATACAAGCTGTTATTGCAAATATTGTCATCATTTGTCAGGCACAAAAAAATACTAACAGTCTGATCGTATTTTAATCGGCAAGTGAGAAGAAAATGAGTAACTATCATATATTTGCATAATGCAATTTTCAAATCGGAAAAATTGTTCGGTATTACGTATGTCGTTTTTTTTTTAAATATATATGAAATTTATTCACTTTGCTCTTGAAAGTGCGATGTTCAGTCGATAATTTAAGAAAAAATGCAAAAATTCAATTAAAAGAATGAGTAATCTAATTGGAAAAATGAAACAATCATTAGAAAAACGAAAAATTCTGATTTGAAGGTGAATAAAAAGGCGAGATACACTATTTGGCTGTAAGTCAGATACAAAAATTTAATAAACTCTTCTAGTTAATTTTTTTTTTTAATTAAATTCTCATACACGTGTGTAAATTAGAGTGAAATATATTAACATAATAATTAAAGATCCATTACATATTTTCATTGAAATAAATTTAAAAAAATTTAAAAAAATAATACAAAAAGAAAAACTGCATAAAATTTCAACTATTTTAATTGTTTTATAAAAGATGCTGTTACATGAAGTTATAGACTGACGATATATTTAATTGCAATAAAACAAAGCAAAAATTATATAAATGCATATACATAATATTAAAAATATATTAACATAAATATAAAATATACAACATTTGTAATAAAAATTGAAATTTTTTTTTTACTTTCATTAAAAACCTAAAGTTAAAATTATTAATATTGAATTTTTTTTTTGTTGTCAATATCAAAAATTTATTTTAAATTTTAAAACAAAAAATATGCATAGATACATTAAAAAAAGTTTTTTAAGAATTTAAATTACATGATGCTACTCAAAACATTTAACCTTATAATCAATATTTAAAATGAAAAAAACAAAACTTTTCTACTTTAATTCTTAAAAAAAAAAATTAAATTCCTCATAATATTAAAGTAAAAATTTAAGGTATAAATTAATAAAATTTATTATTGAAACTATTTTTTTGTACAAAAAAATCCTTGTATGTTATTGCCTTCAATTTTTTATTGAAGGCATTGACAAGGTCTCTGAAATTAATATTTATTGAATATTAAAAATTAAAATTTCAACATAGTTGAATTTTAGTTGTCCTATATTTCATAAAATTTTCCAAAATAGCATATTAAAAAATTAAATCTTAGATTAATTTCACGTCATTTCTTCAAACTAAATTTTATACGCAGTTTGTTAAACACTTAAAATTCGACAAAAGTTTTAAAACTTTTCATTTTGTTGTCCTTTTTATTTCAAATATAAATTTTATAAAAGCTTCTATATTTACGTAAATGTATTAGAAAAAATATGAAAATATATTCAAAAAAAATTTTCCACTATACCTAATTACATTACTTGTACCAACACTTACTATATTTAAATATTTCTCGAATTTATAAAATAAAAAAAAATATATTTGAAAATTTATACTTACAAATCTTGCACATTTTTCAAAAACTCATTTTTTTATATCCATTTTTTGACTTATACAAAATATATAAAAAAGCAATAACAAAAATATTATTCGTCTCAGTAATATAATCGTTTTCAATTGAGTTGGAAATTTGTTTTTTATTAAATAATTTTATACAGAATAAAAAACAAAAGGAAAATTACTTGGGAACTAAATTACAAATTCTTATAAAATTAAGATTTTCTTTTTATAAAAATTTTATGTTTCGAGCACAAAACCCCAATCTAAATTTATCAATCGTATATTATACTTAAAAGCAGAAAAAAAAATGAAATTAAAAACATAAAGAAACAAAACCTACCTAACCTACCTTATCTTTAATATTAACATTTAAAATAATATGAAATTTATACAATTTTATACCTTATACTTATATACTATTCTAGACAAGTTTTTTAGTATTTGATATAAAAAAAAATAAAAATTCAGAATTCATTAATGGCATAACCGACAACAAAAGCTCATAAGATTTTACATAAAAACCAAAAAAAGAAATAAATAAATTTTTTTTTTAGTTCTAATATTCTTGGATATTACTATTGAAGTTTAAGTCAGACTTTAGAGACCAAATATTGTTCATTAATTTTATTTTATCATCAAAATATTGGATGGCATTCTAATTTTTGCGGGAAGCCAAATTCATGAACAAAATTTGATAGTCTAAATTTTGACTAACAATAGTTGTAATTTTATTGTAATTTTCTTTATTAATTCAAATTATGATTAATTTATGAAATTTCAAATTAAAAATCTGATCCAATTGGATTTTTAAGAATTTAAATTCAATTTATAATACGATTGTTAAAAATTCATTTAATTTTCTTGAAAACCATACTTGTGTTTTTAATCATCCTTTTTTATA